TCTCGGGAAGCAGTGCCATAGCGTCCAAGTGAAATAATTAGACATTGAATATTCAATGTAATTTTAGAAAATTAGGGGAAATAGCAAGGGAGTTTCTTGTAGATTTAATCCCAAGTGAGTAATAAATAGTACACAGACTATGTAATACCATCTTCCCCCATTGTTTAGTGCAGAAGCTTGAGACTATTTCGTTTTAAAGGACTAAATAGTCCCACTAGTATCCTCCTAAATTTTGAACCAAACACATGGCTACGTTATTCTAAAGGTTAACGGTAAAAAGTTCAGCTTTTTTCCCTCGTTTGAAAGATGATCTACTCAATGGTAAAAAAATTATTGATCTGCTCATTTTCTCTTCAAAGCATTGGCTATTTTTATCACTTGTATACATGCTTATCTTATTCAGTCTCACTTATCCGACATTTTTGTTTAATTTGTTAGCTTGTTAGCTTGATTAAAAAAATTATTGATCTGCTCATTTTTTTTGTAGGTTTTGGGCTCATATCGTGATGGTATATGAATTACTCTTTTGTTGCTGCGGATAGAGTTTATCATACAAGAACTTATGAATCCTCGGTTGTAATTTATTTACATCAAGGATACTTCTCTTCTCACATGCTATTCAGTTTGCAACTCTTTATATTTTTTATTAACATTTCTCTTGGTATATCAAAGACCAAATTGACTATGTAATTGTCAGTTGTACATGCATTTGAGAAGATAATGAAATTGTTACTTATTTGCTCTGATATCAACTTATTCTCACTTTGAATATGTATGAAATATGAAACAAGCCTCACGTGTTTTCCAGCTTGGATATCTGTGAAATATGTAATGGTAATGTATTATTTAATTAGATGTTTTTTTTTGTAAGATACTTGATATGTTTGTAGAGTTTTATTCACTTTCATTTTGTTGAAACTCTTGCAAGTTATGGTGGGCAATGAATTTGAAAACTTAGCAAATGTAGCTATCATCGTCAAAATTATCTATATTTGTGTTTTTTGGTTACTATTTTACACATCTCCATTGCATTTGATGTAAACAAGATGAGTTAAGAGAATAAATTTTTATTAATTTTAAATTCAAATTCATGTATAATAAAGTACCCAAACATTAGATTTTGAAATCAAAGATTTCAAATCCTTTCATTTAATAAAGATATCCAAACAAAAGATTTCTTAAATCATGGATTTCAAATCCTAAATTTAAAATCCCTTGATTTTAAATCAACTTCCCAAATCCAAATTAAAGTTCCCAAACGCAGCCTAACTACATTGATTATGTAATACTAGGCACTGGTTTAATCATGTAGCATAAAAGTAGCTTCTCAGAACAAGAGCTTCAGCCAAATTTACTTAGATTATGGGAAAAATCAATTATATAAGCTTCTGAATATCAACAGAAGAATCAGATACACAAGGTTAAAACATTTACCTGACAAAACAATTTACTAATTCTAATACAACGTTAAAATAACAAAAACAAAGCCTCATCTATGTAGGTAAGACGGACCTACTTCTCAAATCAAGCAATTGCATCACTTAGCATACACAACCAATTTCCTCAATTTCCTACAACAACAAATAAATCTTGAACATGGATGATGACCATTCTGACCTAGAAGAACAAAAATTTCAAACCTGCAGATTGAGCTAGTTCGTCCATCCATCCAAACAATCGCCTTATAAAGAGGCAACCAAATTTCAAACCTGCAGATTGAGCTAGTTCGTCCATCCATCCAAACAATCGCCTTATAAAGAGGCAACCTCGTCGACTTGCTCCAGATGACAGTCGTCTCTCTCTGATTTGGAGCGGTGGATCGGTGGAGCGGGGGCGAGCGGAGGAAGCAGGCGAAGAAGTCGGCGAGGTCGAGGCCGCAGAGTGAGATCTGGTGGTCACCGACGAATAAGACGGGGTTCCCGGCCAGAGAGGGGAGGGAGGGAATGTAGCAGCGGTGGAAGACGGGGATGAGGAGGGGGGCCCGCCTGAGGGAGGAGCGCCAGTTGGGGAAGCCGGGAGAGGAGGGGAGGGAGAGGGAGGACGGGGATGAAAATTTTCATTTTGTAGGGGAAAAGAGAGCGGCTGCGGGTTTTGACGGGTTAATTTTTTTTTTTTTAAAATGGTCAGGTATTCTAGACGGAAATTTCCGTCTAGGATACATTCTAGACGGAAATTTCCGTCTAGAATACCTGACTATGTTAAAAAAAAATTTAAAATACAGGAACCGTCTAGGATATTATTCTAAACGGAATATTTCGTCTAGAATGATTTATTCTAGACGGAATATTCTAGACGAAAAATTTCCGTCTAGAATAAGTTATTCTAGACGGAAAAATTTCTGTCTAGAATATTCCATCTAGAATATGTGATTTTCTACTAGCGTGCGGAGATTTTTGTCAGGTGGCAAGGTCATCTTGCATTGACATAAAAAACCTTTTAGGTGTGCTATGTACTAAAGAGTACATTGAGTTAAACCCTACAACATGAACCAATAAATAAAATATCGCTATTAGATGTGATATAAGACATTGACATATTGTTTTAATCTAAAACAATCTCACACGTAAACCTTAATATTGTGGTGCTTGCATTAGAATTTCACTTAATTATAAAGGTATATAGTTTTAATATATCTCTAAAATAATCAATAATATTTTCAAAGGAAGACTAATCCATCAACTTTATATATAATTTGACACATGTATAATTTTGCATATATAAATTTAGGGTTAATTTCAGAAACCTACCCCCCAACTATGGTGGATGTCTTAAGAACCTCCACCCCCCAACACTATTTTAACTTGAGGAAAACTCCCATCAAATTTGAGCACATTATAGTAGATATTCCCACTCAACTTTGAAAATTAGAGAAAATCCCTCTGAACTATGGGATGTCTTACAAAAAACATTTTTGACACTTTTCTCACCAACCCTCATAACATCATTTCAAATTGTAAAATAACTGAAACACCCTTTTGAAAATTAACCATTCAGTTACAAAGAAACTCCTAACCAGTAAAAAAAAGATCTTGATTAATTTATAATGCATTTTCCCCATCTTTCTCCTCTCTCTTTTATATTAAAAAAAAATCAAAGTAACTTTTTACGATTATCTTGGTCTTTTCTTAGGCACCTACTTGTCATATGACATGCTAGACCTAACAGCGTTATCTTTCAGGGAATAAAGTGAGAAGAATTTATAGAGGTTTCTAGAATTTTCAAACTTTGAGGAAGATTACCTACAACAGGCCCAAAATTGATGGCGATTACTCAAATTAAAATAATTGATGGGCGTTTTTTGAGACACGCCCATATTAGAGGAGGGTTAAGTGAGAAAAGCTCAGGCAGCTATCTCAAATTTTTATTGTTGATGGGTGTTATCTATAATATTCTCAAACTTGAGGTTTTCTCAAATTAAAATAGTTGAGAGGGGTTTTCTGAGACACCCATAGGCGAGAGGTTTTTTCTAAAATTACCCCATGAATTTATGTAGAGAGGCTCTCTACATGAGTTTTTTTTCTTTTTAATATTTATATTTGAATTATATGGTTATGAGATTTTTAACTTGAAGGGGATTATCTACAATATGCTCAAACTTGAGGGGGTTACTCAAATAAAAATAATTGAGGGCAGGGGTGGTCTAAGACATCCTATATTTGAGGATGATTAAATGAGAAAAGCTCTTGGAGTTATTTCAAATTTTCATAATTGAGGGGGCTATCTATATAATATGCTCAAACTTGAGGGGGTTTTCTTAAATTAAAATAGTCGAGGGGGTTTCTGAGATGACCCCACAACTGAAGAGGGTTTTCTAAAATGAACCAGTGATTTTATGTAGAGAGGCTCTCATGAGCTTTTTTTTTCTCTATATTTAAGTATATGATTAGAAAATTTTTATTTTCAAACTTAAGGGAGATTATCTACAATAAGTTCAAACTTGAAGGGGTTATCAAGATGAAAATAACTTGGTGGGGTGGGGTCGGGGGGGGGGGGGGGTTCTTATACATACCCTATATTTGAGGAGGGTTAGGTGAGAAAAGCTCAGGGGGTATCTCAAATTTTCACAGTTGAGTTTTTTTTTTTTTTTTTTTTTTGGGGGGGGGGGTTTATCTATAATACACTCAAAACTTGAGGGTGGTATTGTTAAATTAAAATAGATTAGAGGGATTTCTGAAACATCGCCATAGTTTGATGGCAGTTTTCTACAATAAACGGACAAAGAGGCTCCCTACATGAGTTTTTTTATTTCTACATTTAAATATATAATTATAATATTTTTTAATAATAAATAGTTATAATCTGATAAGAATTACAAAATTTTTAATTATTTAAAATTTTTAATTATGAATAGTTTTAACTTGATGACAATTCTTAGGTGCATATAATATTAAGTGTCCACATGTCATCTTCTGACTTATCAGATGGACACGTTAGTACCTATAAAATGACATATATTAATTTTTTGTATCTTTATAATATGACACATGTCAATTTTTTGTGCCTATAGAAGTTCCCCCAATTTCTCTTTATATATAAAGGAGGGATCCTTAAGCAACCTGATGGACCAAGTCAATTTCATATTATATATGAAAGCCCTGGAATATATGTGAGAAGATCATTTCTATATGTGTCCTTAAATTTCCTATTTATGTTTCTTATAGGTAACCATCAAAATCTCACTTGTTTTGATATATCTCTGAAAAGTCTTCTGTTATTATGCATCCTTCAAGATTAAGCTGAAATAACAAATCACCACTAAAGTGATGGTCAAAGAGAACTACTGGTAACATATAAGGGTGTCTCAGTCAGCTTATGTAGCATTTGAAATAACTTAATAGCTTGTTTGGATACTCTGAGATTGTTGAAATGTACTGAAGCGTACGGAAAATGTTCTCAAGGACTATAAAAAATAATATGCAATCATCTTAAGGATTATGAAATTATTCCCCTTTTCTTCCTTTAGCTTATAAGCAACAATCTCTTCTTAATCTCATAACAAAATGAGTTCTACCTCCATTATCTCCCCTATCCTCCTCATAATTCTCTATCTCCCTTGTCTCTTCATCATAGCACAAGCCACAGACACATTGACTTTTGGCCAATCACTCACTGACGGCAATTCCTTAGTATCAGCTGGCAAGCTCTTCGAGCTTGGCTTCTTCAGTCCAAATAGTTCAACCAACCGTTACATCGGAATTTGGTACCACGACTCACCTAATAACATCCTATGGGTAGCCAACCGTGAAACTCCAGTGCCAGACAAGTCAGGCTCCCTGAAAATTTCTTCAGATGGAAATCTCAACCTCGTTGATGGTTCAAACAAAATCCTATATATGGTCATCCAATGCATCATCACTACCCTCAAATGCAACTAAAGTTATGCTATTTGACTCTGGCAATCTACAACTCAACAACTCAGTCACGATCGTATGGCAGAGCTTTGATTATCCTACTGACGTGTATTTACCAGGTATGAAGATTGGGATCGATCTAGAGACTAACAAGAATCAATTGCTCGATTCATGGAAGAGCACTTCAGACCCTGGAGTAGGAAAGTACTCGGTAGCCATGGATCCGGATAAATCGACGCAGTTGTTTTTGTGGGAGGGGACACAGCCTAGGTGGCGGTCAGGCCGCTGGAATGGCCAAATCTTTACTGGGATTATATATAAGGTGCCATTCTATATAGATGGATTCCAAGTTAGTAACTATAAGAAAGAGGGGAAAATGTATTTTTTTTATCCACCTGGGGACTTCTTTCATATATATGTCGTAACTTGGGATGGAGTACTAGAGCATAGGGTTTGGGATCAGGACACTGAAGTTTTGGTCTGCGAGTCTGGGCACGAAAAGTGAAAAGAGTTGTGCAATTGGCTACAATAGGTGCGGAAAAAACGCCATTTGTGCAGATGAGGAAATCCCTATATGCAAGTGCTTGCAAGGATTCATGCCAAAGTCGACGAAGGAATGGAGAAATAGCAATTGGAGCGGTGGATGCATCAGAAAAACACCATTACAGTGTGAGGGGAAGGACAATAGTACCGGAAGCTTAGAAGAGAGAGACAGGTTCTTGAAGTTAGAGAGAGTAAAGGTACCAGACTCATCTGATTGGTATGAGGATGTGACTGACATTAGTGGATGCGAGAAAACTTGTCGGGCAAACTGTTCATGTATAGCCTATTCATATGTAACGGGTATCGGGTGCTTGATTTGGGGTGTGGATCTTGTAGATGTTCATGCCTTATACAGTGCAGGAAATGATTTGTATCTGACACTAGTAAAAAGAGGTCCAGCCCCAACAGGTGGACGCAACCGTTGGGGCTGGTAGCACAGGCCCCAACGGTTTCAACCGTTGGGGCCAAGTGCTTTTAACGTGAACACCATAGAGGGAAATTTCCCTCCGTTTATTTTCGCCAAAATTGAAAAAAAAGAAAACAAAACCCCCAAACCTGCCCCGTTCTCTCTCTCACACACATCAAAAAACCCCCAAACACCCTGTTGCGCCTTCTCTCCTCCCCTCCCCCGCCACCAACTCTGAACTCGCCGCCCCTGGAGGTCGCCGCCGGAGGTCGTCGCCGCACCTGGAGTTCGCCCTATTCTCTCTTTCTCTCACACATCAAAAAACCCCCGTCGGAGGTCGTCGCCGCCCTTGGAGGTCACCGCCGCCGTAGAGCCCTTCAGTTTGCCGCCGCCGTTGACCCTGCAGTTTTTCGCCGAACCCCCATCAAAAAACCGCCTCTCCTGCTCAAATCGGACCTCGCCGCCGTGGACAGAGGTGACATTCGATTCCCCAACTTGCTCAAATTAATGTAACATCCATTTTCTCTCATATTTGGCATATTAATTACAAAATCTTCTAATAATGGTGAGACTGCCCAAGAGAAAAGAGAGATTATTTTTACTAATCTTGTGCAATCTTGTGTGCAGGAGCAAATTTGAAACATTTTCTTGTTTCTATTCGGGGAGACTGAGTTCCATATTGATTGACCAAATTATTATGTTACATTCATTTCTTTTCAGAGGATGAACATGAGGCTTGTCTTTAAGCCTTGTCAATGCATCATCAAATCATTGATGACAACTTTTAATCTTGTTTCCTCAATTTTCTTTATGAAAAGCAGATTAGTTTTCAACATTTTCAATCGTATACAATTTGTGGTTTTTTTTCGCGCTCTTTTTGTTATATATCAAGAATTATATGCATGGAAAAGTGTATTTGTATCTGGCTGTCATCTATGATATCCTGCACCTGATAACGATTGTGAGGTCTTCATTGTCTAGAGTGTTTATTAACTTCCAAGTTCAGTTCTTCATTATTTGGTTGCAGCTATCCATCCTGATGAATGAAATAGATGCAGACCTTAATTTTCACAATTCTTCCATGTAAAAGACATTGTTTGTGCAACTTCAGTATGTGTATGTGTGCAGTAAATTTGGCATAGTAATGACTTCATTATATACCCTCTGAATGATCCTCTCTTTCCTATGATCTCTTATAAGCAAGCCTATTTGCAATAATCTCTTGTTTCTCTGCACATAAGATGAGGGATAAACATTTTGAAGAAATAAAGAGATGATCTTTTCAAGAAAGAGGTGTTCGAAGGGATCGATAAAAAATGGTGCGACCTCTTTAAGTTTTTTCTTCTAATAGGAAGCATGTATATGGTTAACAAATAATTCAATGATTGGCATGTGCTTATTTTTGGATCACAATCTAAATCTTACATTTTTGTGCAGGCGGAGGCAAAAAGAAATAAAGATAAATTGAGAGTCAAAGAAGCGAGGTCCAAGGTCTGAAATGTTCTGTGTGTACTTTCTCTGCATTAGTTTCTAATTTACTGGCCACCATTCTGCCGTTTCTTCCTCTCGAGCTCTGCTATGGTATCTATGGCATCAAACAACTCACAATATTTGTGAATAATCATTTATTCACCTTCCAGCCCACATGACTGTTACACTATAATGGACTTGTTTTCCTTTTTTAATTTTACACTGATTTAATTTTCCATTTAGGAGGTCAATTAAGAATACTGGTTGCAAGTTAAAGGAATTAAATGAAGTATCTTACTGGATGAACATCTAAAGAGACTTTAGTCTTTGGTTTTCTAAAGACATCTAAGCGAGCAAATTGATGCTCGGCATCGTGTATATCTAAAGACATCTGCAGATCCTTTAAAAATATTATCTTGAATATCTTGTATATTTGATTCCTCACAGGCCTTCTGCAGTCCTCATGTATTCTTTTCGGTATATTTTCCTCACAGGCCTTCTGCCAATTGTATATAGAAGTGATTTTATTACTGTTTTCCTCACAATATATTGCTCTCTACCTCTTTTTATCGTCCGTTTACTTATTCATTTGGTTTTTTTAGGATATTTCTATTTCCCTGCTCAAAATAGTTCTCAGCAAGATTGAACTCATCAAGTGCTCCAGATCAGGTTCTCCTAATTTTGAATCTCATGAGGTTGAATGCTACAACTTGTAGTTAGTAATTGCAGAATATATGCACCTCAGGGGTTCAGCGAAGGTATACCAATTTGTTCATGTTTATGGCTCTCAATTGCTTTTGTGTTTTTCTCCATGTCCTAACCTTCTTCTGTATATTCTGTATATCCCTCAAGAAAATGCACTTTCATGACGGTGATGAGCTTGAGTCTGAGGTTGAGCTTGAATATCCCAAGTCTTCTTTTTAGAACATCATTCACTATTACATAATTTGTTCCATAAGTAATTAGTTTAGTTTCATTTTCCCTCTAATTGCTGAGATATATTCAGTTGGAGAATAATTTTAAAACCCAAAACTCTGCCAACTAGAGCTTTGGATATGATTTACTCTGTCAATTAGAGCTTTGGATATGATTTTGTTTTCTCCTTCATGGACAATTTACAAATTGTAGGTGTCGTATTATTGTGCTAGTGGAAGATTTTAATATAGAAGTGCTCGTTTGTGGTTAGTTCATTGGAACTTCTTTGTGTAATCTTTAAGCTGGCTCTCGATTTAGCTTGCACTTCCATCTTGTAGGGAACAGGTTGCTAACCGTATAGATTGGAGACTTCATTATGCAACTAATCTTTGTGGTATCAAGAATTCTGCTCTCATCTCACAGGTATATATTAGCATACACCTGTATATATTAGCATATATAATAGATAAGTTTGGTACAAAATGCTTTATTGTTTCACTTGTTTTATCTTATTTTGTACAAAAAAATGCTCACCATGATTGTATTTCACGGCATGCTGTGAGCATCATCAAAATTTTGTATGTGTTATATGCTTATTTATCAATGGTCTTATAATCTAGTATGTCTTGCATACGTACCCAGTTTGTTGTTTCAGTGAAATGACATTAGCGGTGACAAGTTAGAACTGGTGGGATGTGGGCTAGAACTAACGTGGAACCCAGAATTAACAACTTAGCATGAAAAAAACAAGGGCTTTGATTAGAACTAGCAAGATGTGAGCTAGAACTGGTGGGATACAAGTTTGGGATGTGGGCTAGAACTAACGTGTAACCTATAATTAACAACTTAGCATGAAAAAAACAAGGGCTTTGATTAGAACTGGTGGGATACAAGTTAGAACTGGTGGGATACAAGTTAGAACTGGTGGGATACAAGTTAGAACTGGTGGGATGTGGGCTAGAACTAACGTGAAACCCAGAATTAACAATTTAGCATGAAAAAAACAAGGGCTTTGATTAGAACTAGCAAGATGTGGGCTAGAACTGGTGGGATACAAGTTAGAACTGGTGGGATGTGGGCTAGAACTAACGTGGAACCTATAATTAACAACTTAACATGAAAAAAACAAGGGCTGTGATTAGAACTAGCAAGATGTGGGCTAGAACTGGTGGGATACAAGTTAGAACTGGTGGGATGTGGGCTAGAACTAACGTGGAACCCAGAATTAACAACTTACCATAAAAAAAACAAGGGCTTTGATTAGAACTAGCAATATGTGGGCTAGAACTGGTGGGATACAAGTTAGAACTGGTAGGATGTGGGCTAGAACTAACGTGGAACCTATAATTAACAACTTAGCATGAAAAAAACAAGGGCTTTGATTAAAACTAGCAAGATGTGGGCTAGAACTGGTGGGATACAAGTTAGAACTGGTGGGATGTGGGCTAGAACTAACGTGGAACCTATAATTAACAACTTAGCATGAAAAAACAATGGCTGTGATTAGAGCTAGCAAGATGTGGGCTAGAACTGGTGGGATACAAGTTAGAACTGGTGGGATGTGGGCTAGAACTAACGTGGAACCTATAATTAACAACTTAGCATAAAAAAAACAAGGGTTGTAATTAGAACTAGCAGGATATGGGCTAGAACTGGTGGGATACAAGTTAGAACTGGTGGGATGTGGGCTAGAACTAACGTGGAAACCAGAATTAACAACTTAGCATGAAAAAAACAAGGGCTTTGATTAGAACTAGCAAGATGTGGGTTAGAACTGGTGGGATACAAGTTAGAACTGGTGGGATGTGGGCTAGAACTAATGTGGAACCTATAATTAACAACTTAGCATGAAAAAAACAAGGGCTGTGATTAGAACTAGCAAGATGTGGGCTAGAACTGGTGGGATACAAGTTAGAACTGGTGGGATGTGGGCTAGAACTAACGTGGAACCTATAATTAACAACTTAGCATGAAAAAAACAAGGGCTTTGATTAGAACTAGTAAGATATGGGCTAGAACTGGTGGGATACAAGTTAGAACTGGTGGGATACAAGTTAGAACTGGTGGGATGTGGGCTAGAACTATAGTTTTGTGCCGACTTCGCACGCACTTTCTGATCGTCTCCAATCTCCGTTTTCGCCGATTTTTTCTTTGGTGAGTAGCCCTACATGTTGCATATCACTCCAATTTGTATCACGCTCTAACTCATTCTCTATATCTCTCGGTAACATCCGAAACATCGCTCGGCGGCAGCAGCGAGCAGAAAACAGCAGCGCCGTGCCGACTTCGCGCGTGTTTTACGGCCACCTCAGGTCTCCGTTTTCACTACCGTCTGCGCCAGTGTGTAGCCCTTTATATTGTCTATCACACGGTATCTTTCTTTTATTTGGGCTCATTTTCTACCTCTCGTTATATTATTTCGAATATCGCTCGGCGGCACTGTGGCAATTTCATTCATAGAGATACATTAATACACATTTTTGTTATTTCTTAATTACAATATTTCTCTTCATTCCCCTTCTACTCTACTTCTCCTTACCTTTCTTTTTTCTTTTTTTCTTTTTTTCTTTTTTTCTTTTCTTCTTCTAGCTAATAGATTAATGCTCTGTGCGTCTCGGCCAGGACGACGAGCTTAATAAAGCTCTTAGTTTTAGAGAGAGGTGAGAGAGAGAGAGAGAGAGAGAGAGTAGATGAGAGAGAGAGAGAGGAGATGTGAGTGCTGGGTCAGAGAGGAGGGAGGATAAGGATAGTTTGGGAATTTTACTTTAGCTGGCATGTGATAATTAATAAAAAGGGGCTGCAGTACAAAGTGTCACACTTCAAGGGGCTGATCCACATGGAGAAAAATATGAGGGGCTTTGTCACATGAAGTTTTTGCTTTTGAGGCCTGGACACATTTTTCCCTTATTTCTTTTGTTGCAAAATAAAATAGGATGTAAGTGCTCCACGCACAAGACTTATAATCTGCGCGCAAAAAGCTTATATCTTATATTTTGACATTCTTTGACTTGTTTTTATTTTTTCTTTTTTTTTCACATAGCATTGTTATGGCATGTAATATTCTAGAAAATAAAGAACGAAAGAGAAAAGAAAGAGAAAGAGAAAATATTTGTATGATAGGGAATATTCTAGAAAACGAAAAAGAAGGAAAAAGGAACAGAAAGAGAAAACTCTCCCTTGATAAATTACCCTTGTATCCTAATAATTATAGTACAAATGAGAGCCTGTCCACCGCCCACCGGTCATACAAATTGTAGATATCCCCTGCTTGGTTATTAATATAGCAGTATAGACTTTATATAAGTCTTCCGAGAATACATATTTTTAAAAAGAAAACTCCAAAACACTTTGAGCTGCAAAAGACCGGTCTCTCCAACAAGCTAAATAGCTGTTAAATAAATACCTTATATTTTTACTTATTTTGCACTTATATGTACTTAATGTTTTTCGTGGCATTATATCTTAAGTTGTTTAAAATTAGCATGATTGTAACCTCTTTTATGCAAACGAGAAAATTACCACCCGTTGTGTAACATTCACATGTTAATCTCAAAGTTTTTTTTAACCAATAATATTTGTTAAATTTAATGTTCATCCTATCAAAATTCTAATTTAAACGTGTCCCAATCTATTTTAAAAATAGAAGTTAGTTAGGCTTCGCGATAAAATCTATATCCCCTTCCCCAAAATACCATAGCGAATGTGACAACTAGAGATTTTTACGAACAAGTTATAAGCAAGAATAATTTATGTATCTTTGAAATTACTTAAGTATTATAATTGCACATCTCTGAAAAAAGTGAGTTAGCATCTTCTTCTATGAGAATTGTAGAATTGGCAACACAGCTAAAAAGTTCAGGAAAACAGATGCCCAACACAGTTTGGGTGATTGTCGGTCGACCGCGAGACAGCTACGGTCGACCGAAAACGTGCACAGATTGCAGGGGGATTATAGAGTTGGAGACGGTCGACCGCCGCGAAAGACTGTCAGGGATCCTGTAGGATTCTGGGTTTCTGGAATTGGTGACGACCGACCGCCGCGATCGACCGCCAACCCTATAGTTGATTTTTATGTTTCTGTCGATTCTTAGGAAACCTGATTAATTAGGGTTAATTAAGGATGACTTTGAGCAGATTTTGAGAGAGAATTGTGCATCCTTTGAGGGAGAATTTGTGAGAGATTTTGAGAGCTTTGTTTGAGGGTTTTTGGTGAGCTTGTAAACCCTATTTGTATTCTATGTATCTCTAATAGTAAAAACTCCCCCCTCCTTGCCCCGTGGATATAAACAAATTGCCGAACCACGTAAAATTCAGTTGTCTTTCTGTGGTGATTGTGTTTTACTTATTGGTTGTGATCTATCTCGTTCTTGCTCGTGCTTTTTCGTGTGTTTCGAGTTCCGCTGTGCACAACAAGTGGTATCAGAGCCTCGGGTTTGGCTTGGGGCTTTTTGGATGATTTTCTGAAGGATTCTTATTTGAAGAGTTAGATCATCAACATGGGTGAAACAAGTACATCGGGATCATCCCTTTCGAAGGCGATACAGAGTCTGAGCATTAATAATACAAAGATTAATATTCTGAATTTTGATGGTAAGATTAATTTTGGTTTGTGGATGTGTCAGGTGATGGATACGTTGGATGCACAGAATTTAGAGGAGACTCTTGAATTACAAGAGAAACCAGCTGATATGGAGGATAAAGTTTGGAAGAAGTTGAACTAAGCATGTGGGGTTATTCGATCATGCTTAACACCGGATTTGATTTATGATATGATGAATGAGACGTCGGCAAAGAGATTGTGGGAAATACTCAATGAGAAGTATCTTACGAAGAGCATTGAGAATCAGCTTCACTTGAAGAAGAGATTTTATCAATTCAAGATGAAGAGGGGAGTTTTCCTTAGAGAGCATGTCAATAATTTTACAAAGTTGCTTTCCGATATGGCCAATGTGGACATCATGGTTGAGAATGAAGATAAGACGATGTTACTATTGTGTTCGTTGCCCGAGGATGATTATAGTACCTTTGTTCTTACTATGATCAATGGAAGAACTATTGTTATCTACAAGGAGGTGACCTCAGCATTGGTGAACTATAAGTTGAGGAAGAGTGATGGCAAACCCTCGAAAAGGCATCGGGAGATGCATTAGCAGTTCGAGGTCGTAGTCCAAACCGTCGCCAATTCAACTGTTCAAAGTCGAAGAATAGAGGTGGCCATAAGAGTGTTGGTAGAAATAATATGCCTTTTGTAAAGAAGAGAGACATTAGGAGAACGAATGCCCAAAGTTGAAGGATAAAGCTGGGAAGAACAAGGGGAAAGCTGTACAAGCTTCAGAGGTGAATGTTGCCAAAGCAGCTGACGACAATTCAGATTCGGATTCTTCGGGCTACTCAAACCCTACACTATCGTCAGTTTGTTATGCTGACTCTACGGATTGGATGATGGATTTGAGAGCTACATATCATATTTGACCTAGGAGGGATTGATTCTCCAGCTTTGAGGAGTTAGAAAAAGAGGATGTCATGCTTATGGGTAATGATCATATATACCCTATTAGTGGTATTGATACAGTCCGGATCAGGATGTATGACAGGATGACTAGGGAGCTGAAGGAAGTGATGTTCGTTCCGTAGTTGACGAAGAATATTATTTTTCTTGGGACTTTAGAGGCAGTTGGCTATCAGGTGACCTTAGAGAATGCCACTTTGAAGGTCACAAAGGGGTCTATGGTGGTGATGCGAGGTGTCAAGAAAAACAACCTATACTACTTGAAGGGCAAGATAGTTACAGGGGGTCTGGCTGCTTCGATCACTACAGAGGAGGATACTACCAGCTTATGACACATGCGTTTAGGACACATTGGTGATAAGTCTCTACAGACATTGACAAAACAAGGGCTATTGAAAGGTGTAAAGACCTCCAAGATGGAGCTATGTGAGCATTGTGTACTTGGGAAGAAGACTAAAGTAAAGTTTGGCACTGTAATTCACAACACCCAATGTATATTGGATTATATTCACACAGATGTTTGGGTCCCTTCCAATCATACATCACTTGGTGGGACCAATTATTTTTTCACTTTCATTAATGACTATTCCAAAAAAATTGGGTATATACCATGATACATAAACATGAGTTTCTGGATATTTTTGTAGAGTGAAAGGAGAAAGTAGAGATGCAGACAGATAGAAAGGTGAAAACACTTCGTTCAGATAATGGTGGAGAGTATAAGAGTGATCTATTTCTATAGTTTTGCCAAGATCACGTCATTAGACGACACTTCACAGTTTGAAAGACACAGCAACAAAACGGGGTGGCTAAAAAATTAAACTGTACCTTGTTGGAGAAGGTGCGATGTATGATGTCACAAAGTGGATTGTCGAGATCCTTATGGGCCGATGCATTGGTTTATGTGAGCCATCTTGTGAATAGGTTGGCGTGCACTGTGATATATATGAAGACTCCTATAGAGCTATAGTATGGTTTGGTAGCTAGTGACTATGAGTTACTTCGGATATTCGAGTGCCCAACTTATTATCATGTCAGTGTTGGAAAATTAAATCAGAGGGCAATGAAAGCAGTCTTTATGGGCTTTAGAGAAGGAGTTTGTAGGCATATAAAATTGCTTATAGGTCCCTTAGCTCAGCTCGGCACAAACCGACAAACCAAGAGGCAACGAGATTGACTAATCGCACGCAACAACGGAAATACGTCCATCGCGTGGCGGGATCAAGCCAAGTGTTCGAGAGTCAACGAGTCACCAACAGAGATACTCGGACGAACCCGATCGAATCAAGATCGGTTTCGACTCGAAACTCAGAATGGGGGGGGGGGGATTTACTGCCAATGTCAGGAATCCGACTTACTGCCAAATCAGAATCAAATCAGGTCTGGATCACCGAATCGACACACCAAGGTGCGAAAAACAAGCAGAAAAACAACACCCGGAGGGGCTCGGAAACCAAGTCACCAGGCGGCTCACGAGCACCTTGGCGGTGGCTCGGCCCCTCCGCAGCCACCAAATGGGTGGCTCGGAGGCGGGCCACCTCTAGGTGGCTCGGCCACCTGCCGGCCACCATTGGTGGCTCGGAGGTAGGACGAGCCACCTTCCTTGGTGGCTCGCGCGGCCACCAAGGTGGCTCGGCCACCACCGAGCCACCAGAGGTCGGTCGGCCGGAGCCACCAGGGTGGCCGGCCGAGCAACCTTTGGTGGCTCGGCATGAGCCGAGCCACCTTGAGGTGGCCGGCCCACCTTGAGCTGGCCACACTGCACACGGGCGGCACAGTAACAAGGCCTATAAATAGGCCAAGGCGGTCTTCATTTCACAAGGGTTGCGAAATTTTGGAGAGAAGGCCGAAGCCCTGGCCTGAACTCGAGACTCAGATCCAAACAGAGATTCAAAACTTTAGGACTCAGGACTTGTCATCCAGATCTGCGTGCTCACACGGTCAACGCAAAATAAGGCAGGTATTCAGAGAGGACAGATCTCGATTAACGCGGTTTACGAACTCACGGATCTAAGCTTGGTCTTAGATTCCGAGACTTGAGCGATTGTTTCCTTTGGTGGAATCAATCCCTCCCGGCTATTGATTTCCTTCGTTGGATAATACCCGTCGTACTGCGTAGATCCGACCAGGATCCAGATCAGGGCGGTGGTCCACGGCAAACAACCCGGCGCAGGCAAAGACCACAGCGGCGACCGCAAAACAGAGACATCGTGCATTGTTCACAGAGGAGAGTTGTAATTTTTCTATTCTTTTGACTTGTTGTAAACCGGATCTATAAAAGACCGGACTTTGATAACTCAAAAAGTTGTAACTCAAGATGACAATTATCTCATTAATGAAGAAAGCTACGGTTTTTCCCGCGAACAGAGTTAAAGGGTTCAAATTGTGGGATCTATAGGACAAGAATATTGTCATTAGCAGAGATGTCACGTTTGATGAGACGTACATGATGAAACCTCAAGTTCCTCAGCAGGTAGAGGAAGACCAGATTAGTAGGATATCACAGTAGCTGGAGGATGATGTAACTCTACCTACTCCAGATAGTATTATATCTATTGAGGCTCCTACAGAGGTGACACTGGGAGAAGATAAGATGACAGACGGGCATTTGGAGGATACAGTGAATGGTGAAACTCGGGAGTAGGGTCATGTTCAGGAGTTGATTGTAGCAAATAGACCTAAAAGAGTGATTCATCGGCCAGCTAGATACAATAATGTGTTGCTTACATATGTTTTATCAGTGAAGGTTGTTAATGATTTGGTTCCTCCTACATATAGGGAGGTAGAGTCTAGCTCTGATTCGATCAGGTAGAGGGAACCTATGGAGGAGGAGATGCACTCTCTTCAGAAGAACAACACTTGGGAACTTGCAAAGCTACCAAAGGGAAAGAAGGCTATTGGATTCAAGTGTGTATATGCAAAGAAAGAGGGATCTTCTATTGAAGACATTTGTACAAATCCAAATTGGTTGTCAAGGGGTATGCTCAGCTTGAGGGCGTTGATTACAACGAGATATTCTTACCCGTTGTGAAACATTCATCGATTAGGATTCTTTTGGCATTGGTAGCACGATTGGATTTGGATTTGATTCAGATGGATGTTAAAAGAGCCTTTCTATATGGAGACTTAGAAGTGGAGATCTACATAACACAACCCATGGAGTTTGTAGCTGCAGGAAAGGAGGATTTTGTGTGCAAGCTGAAGAAGTCTCTTTACAAATTGAAGCAATCACCACGACAATGGTACAAGAGATTCGACAGCTTTATGATTGGCCAAGGATGAGCCCAAATGACCCATGTGTTTACATACACAAGCTACATGATGGTGACTATATTTATTTGTTGTTATATGTTGATGATAAGTTTATTGCTTCCAAGAATTCTTCGGCTATTCGAAAGTTAAAAAAGGAGCTGTCATCCGAGTTTGAGATGAAGGATCTTAAAAAAGCTAAGAAGATATTGGGTATAGAAATCAAGAGAGACAGGGTGAACGAGAGATTGAAGCTCACACAGAGAAGCTACTTGCAGAAGATGTTGAAGAAATTCAGCTTTGATGGTAATGCGAAGGCAGTAAGCACTCCATTGGCTTTCCACTTTAAGCTTTCAGCTAAGATATCACATGCTTCAGTTAAGGATAGAGAGTACATGTCAAAGGTTCCATATGCCAATATGATGGGTAGCTTGATGTATGCAATGGTGTGTACGAGGCCAGATTTATCATAGACAGTGAGCATGGTGTCCAGGTACATGCACGACCCTGGGAAGGATCATTGGGAGGCCGTGAAGTGGATTCTACGGTATATCAAAGGTACCGTGGATGTTGGTTTGATATTTCAGAAGAATGAGAATATTGGGCAGGATTGTATTGGTTATGTGGACTCTGATTATGCGGGGTATCTTGACAAGCGCTAGTTTACTTCAGGATATGTATTTACATTAGCAAAAGCATCAGTATATTGGAGATGTAAACTTCAGTCTATGATGGCTCTCTCTACTATGAAGGCGGAGTATATGATGGTGACTGAAGCTGTAAATGAGGCTTTATGGTTGCATGGATTGTTGGATAACTTGGGGATTGCACAGGAGACCATTCGGGTGTATTGTGATAGTATATCAGCTATCTATTTGGTGAAGAACTAGGTATATCATGCACATACAAAGCACATTGATGTCAGATTCTATTTTGTTCGAGATGTTTTGGATGATAGAGATGTTATATTATAGAAGATCTACACAAAGGACAACCATGCGGATATATTGATCAAAGTTGTCTCAGGTGAGAAGTTTAGTCATTGTTTGGAGTTATTAAACATTCTTCGATGTTGAGGGCCTTTGGAGGCTATTTAGGTGAACTACGTGAGCCTTGATTCCTTGGGCAAGAGGATACGTAGGCAATCAATTTTGATGCAGTCGGTTGGATTAGTTGATATTGATGGGAGGATATTGGTTGACTCTTGTTCGGGTTCTTGACTTGTTGTGGATTGAGTCCGTTGTTGTGAGTTTATTCCACTTCGTATTGGACACAACAAGTGTGACATTTGGTTATTTTTTGTGTCGGCTCAGTTTTAGGAAAACTTCATCGAGGTGCAAATTTGTAGAATTGGAAACACAGTTGAAAAGTTCAGGAAAACAAATGTAGAAAATAATTTGGGTGATTGTTGGTCGACCACGAGACAGCTGCGGTCGACCAGAAACGTGCACAGATCGTAGGGGGATTTTGGAATTGGAGACGGTCGACCGCTGCGGTCGACAGCCAGGGACCTTGTAGGATTTTAGGTCTCTGGAATTGGTGACGATCGACCGTCGTGGTCAACTGCCAACCCTGCAGTCGATTTTTATGTTTCTGTCGATTCCTGGTTGGTCGACTGCCAGTCGGGTTTGAGTCTGGGTTTTAGTTTTTGACCCGTTTTGTTTTGTGTTGATATATAACCCTAAACCTGATTAATTAGGGTTAATTAAGGAGGACTTTGAGTAGCTTTTGAGAGAGAATTGTGCATCCTTTGAGGGAGAATTTGTGAGAGATTTTGAGAGCTTTGTTTGAGGGTTTTTTGTGAGATTGTAAACCCTATTTGTATTCTCTGTATCTCTAACAGTAAAAACTGCCCCTCCTTGCCCCGTGGACATAAGCAGCTTACCGAACCACGTAAAATTTATTTGTCTTGCTATGGTGATTAGGTTTTACTTATTGGTCGTGATTTATCTAGTTCTTATTCGGGCCTTTCATGTGTTTCGAGTTCCGCTGCGCACAACAAGAACTCCGTTTTTTCTTTTTGTTTTTGTAATTGCCCAGAAAAAACATATAAAAATGATAATATATATAAAAATATATAAAATAAACATGAAAAAAAGAGAGAGAAGCTTACCAGCTTGAGTTGTCCTATTTATAGCCCTTGGAGAGTTGTTAGCTTCTTTTTATTGGAAGCTTGAGATGGTTCAGAGGAGGTGTTCATCCTCCGTTAATCCCTGAGAACCTAGCCTATGAAATCCCTAGCAGCTCAGGTTCAATAATTTCCTCGAGATCTCACAACTCCCCTTTTTATCTAGGCCGAGCAATTAGGACACGGAGGGATAAAACAAGAAGAAAGAAAAGAAAAAAAATAAACACAGAGAACATCCTCTCATACTCCATAAAACTCTATAAATCAGTAGAAAGCTTGTAAAGGGAGAAAAGAAAATCACAACAACGAATTAGGATTCCAAAGTATAATCTCCTTTCAAATTTTATAGTAAATCTTAGTAAATCGAATCAAAATAGAATGAATGAGGAAGTTAACTTGTTATGAATATGAAATAAAAAAAATCTAAGGTTTGCAAAGGATTTTTTGTGTGTTAAGGATGCATGAAACAAACTGAAAAAAAAGAAAAAGAAAATAAACTAACCTAGATTTGGTGGGTTTTTTGCTGCCGGGCCTATCTTGGTCGTTGGCGGTTCCTCGTCGCCATCCTATCACCATGGCAAGAGAGCTAGAGAGAGAGAGAGAGATACGAGCGAGAGAAAGGGAGAGATGCCTCTGATGCCCAATCGAAAAAAAAAACGAAAAAAAGAGAGCAGAGGAAGAGAAAAGAGGAACGGAAAAAAAGAAGAAAGGAAAAAAAGAAACAAAGAAAGGAGGAGGAGGAAGATGATCAGTTGAATTAATTTAAAGGGAGGAAATTTTATAAAAAACCCCTTAGTTATTTTTAGCTTTGTTAATGAACCCTCTTAGGTGGAGGATAATTCATTCTAAGTCCCTAAAAGCCACAAATATTGTAAATAAATACTAACAGAAAAATCTAGGATCATATATGAACAGAACAATTACATATAGACCCCTATCAATTACTCTATTTGCAAATAAGTCCAATTTGAAGAGTAAAAGATAACTATGTGCTTGATTAATTCCCTATAACCCTCTGTCTTATCATAAATTATTAGAAAGTCCAGAAGCTAGTATATGAGAGTTATAAAATTTTGATAAATTGCTAAAGTTAACAATAAGCTCATATGTACTGTAGAATTTAATTATTATTGATTATATCTGAATTTATTAAGCTCTAGATTATGAATTGATTTACCTATAATGTATGTTTATCTTGAGTTAATAATTAGTCTTATATCTTATATTATAGGATCTGGTTGATATCAAGGGGACATATATTTTGGGATAATCTTGTCTACTAGAGGTGAGTTCATTTCTCACTAGTATTTTATAATATAAAATTATATGAGTATTATATTTGATTTATCTTGTGATCAATAAATAAATAATATGTCATTTTAATATATATAATGATTTGACCTATTTCTGTTGTGGTCTATCCTATAATACGATGTTAGCTTCATACAATATATGAAAAACAAATTTGATTTTTATGCAAAATATGAAAAAAGAATTTGGCTCTAGTGAAAATTTCAAATAATTGTGTGCATTGTTTTATCTGAAAGTTTTGATGAAGTATTTGGAACATATTTCAACAGTTTAACGGATTAAAAGATTTTTTGTGACTTAGTATCTGATAAAAGAAAAAAGTAAAAAATCTATAAACTATTTTAACTTAAATGAGGAGCTTTACCTTTATTTAAAAATATCTAAAAATTCTGATATGCAAAGTATTACTCATTTGACTTGTTTGATCTTGATGTTTTCAAACCCTCAAATAGTCCACTATTGATTGTTTCTGCCTACCATATGGTGAATGCACCGTTATTTCACCCCTCTGTATTGGCTCCTCTATATTGGCCCTTCTGAAATTTGTTCTAGCCCCTCTGTATTTGGTTAGTAACCTATGGCAGTGTTAGGTGCATTCGATTCCCGAGAATTATCTGTTATGTGATACGTTTTATGCATTCCCTTACTACTGAGCTAAAATTCGTAGCCTTAGTGTGACCTATAAGGTGACTTTTATATTCATGAATAACTCATCGAGAATTAAGATTTTGATAATTGATTGTGAAATTGAGAAAACAATAATTCTCTGGTTTTGTACAAATTAGTAGTTCTTTCCTTCTTAATGTTTACCTTGATTCAAAAAGGGTTTGATTCCAAGAAACTTTACAGTATATTTAGTTGCACATAAGAAAGAAAATATAATTGTTACATTCTTTCTTGAAGATGATAATATTATGATATTTGGATCGTATTTTGCTATCTTTAAATTTCTTATGCAAAACTTATAATTCGTTATTTCTGAAAATTATGCTTATTACTATTTTGTTAGTTATCTAGGAACTCTAGTGGGAAATGTTCTCACTGAGTGCTAGCTCACCCCGTTGTTTTAAAAAAAATTTCAGATCCGGCGTACCTTCATACTAGCCGAACTTTTGGTTAGGGCTTTTGGCTAAGAAGCGTTATATGGAGAGCCTCTTCTTTTTTATGTTACCTTCAGCATAATTTATTTTGTTTTGTAAAAATGCTTATAACGGTGAGCTTGTGGGCTGTAAGTACCAACTATATACATATATATAGTTGCTCTGATTTTTATCATTAGTAAGTTTATGAATATTTTGAGATAAACTATATGATATGAAGTGTCAGGCTTAACCCGTGCATAAGACTTGTCTCGTGCACGGGTTGCTGCTGTCGTGCACCCCGCATTTACAAATTTCTGCTGCAGTTTTAGGGCGTGACAGTAAAGTGGTATCAGAGCCTAGGTTTCGACGGTGGAAGCCGTGTAGGGCATGTTAGCATAGTGTATATGCGCTAGATGAGTGTTATCGTATGGATCAACTATGTGATATATATGCATGTGTATATATATGTATATACATGTATGCATATAAATATTTTATAGTAAAGCCTTTTAGGTTTGTTAAGGAGTACTTAGATGTTTATTTTATTTCACTTTGTCCTTTTTCTTCAGTAAGCTGATGGATGGTTCCCCTTTTTGTAGGATAGCAAAAAACAATTCATCTTCCAGTTAATCATCTACACCGTCCAGCTCTATGATTTTTGTAGATAGCTCCTGGGAACCCAGCTTAAGAGACTGGGGATATACTTCTGATGAAACTGACCCAAGCTTGATAGTGGCTAACCATATGACCCCAAACTCAGTGCAGATCGAGTCAATAGAAGTTATTATAATAGATTCATCAGAGTCTGAGCTTAATCATGCTGAGAACGAGGATCTAGTGGTAGAAGTTGTTCCAGTTGAGTCATCACCTACAGAAATCATTATGATTTCATCCGACCCCTCTGACATTGAGTCCCTTATAGCCCAGATTCCTAGTGATGTCCAAGGACTTGCCCCCTCTTAGGGTGAGTCGAGTACCCTAGGCATTGGTCCAGACCTCGACCTTGAAGGATGGTGGACTAGTGGCATAGATCCAGATCCAATGTCCGATTCTGTTGATAGCCAAGACTAAGAGGAGACCGAACCAACTGAGGAGAAGTCTAGTTCCAGCAGCTCCTGTTCCTCAGTGAAATAGAACATAACTGTTAGGACAATTTTGTAATATCAGTATATGGGTTTTCGTAGTCACTCTATTGGTATATGTAGGACATTTTGGTAGAAAATATGTATGTATGTAAAACCCATATACTCAGATATATGCATGGACAAAAAAAATTAAATATTAATAATATACTTTTGGTTTGTAAATATTGATTTGTGTTATTATGTTGAGTAATGATTGAGTTCCTAATTACTTAAATTACATATATGTGACTGACTTAGAAATTATTTCTTATACAATAGTTGACATAAACATTTTATTATAGGAAGATATGGCTTCAGGTAATGAGCAAACCCCTCCTAATGGAGATAAGGATCTAAATTAGACAATAGGTAAAATGATGAGATCTAGAATTATGCGTGCATCCATATTAGGAAACTCAATAGACAAAAATGCATTGATGGATATGCTGCAAGCGGTGACATCTGTAGTCACCATACAACAAGATCAAATTGATCGTAATCGGACGAATGGTCAAAACGAGAAGCACTCAAAATTACAAAGTGGCATGGGAGAATTTAAGAAACTATTTTCACCTAGTTTTGAGGGAATGACTGATCCTATGATTGCTGAGCATTGGATCACAGAAATGGAGAAGGTCTTCACTTGCATGAGATGTCCTGAAGAAGAAAAGTTGATTATGCAGTATACATGTTAAAAGACCGTGCTTATAGGTGGTGGCAAATGCAGGCAAGTACGTTAGGTGAGAATGCATACAAGATATCATGGGAAGAATTTAAAAAGATTTTTTTATGTAAAATACTTTCCCTCAACTATTCGCAAGCCAAAAGAACAAGAGTTTCGGAAATTGGAGCAAGGTGATAAGACAGTAGCTGAATATGAAGAGGAGTTCACTTATCTATCAAAATTTGCCATTCACTTGTTGGGTAATGAGGAAGATAGAGCTCATCGCTTCGAGGAAGGGCTTCGACCGGACATTCGGAAGGCGGTTAGTGTATTTGAACTCCCTACATATGGAGAAGTATTAAAAAAGGCCTTGTTAATTAAGAAAAATAAAATTGATACAAAACCAAAGAATGAGGCGAGCAGCTCCTATCTAAGGAAGCGGTTCTGGCAAGATAATCGTGGTGGAAGAAATAAAAATTAGAGAAACAAAAAGCAGAATTTTGGACGCAGAGAGGAGCAATTTCCTAACCAGAAAACTTTGAGATGTGATGTTTGTCATAAACTTGGGCATGAAGCAAAAAACTATTGTAGAAATACTGGAGCTTGTTTGAGATGTGGTCAGAAAGATCACAAAATAGCAGATTGTCCCCTACAGCAACCATCTCGGAATACCTTCCACACTAGCCAGTCTAGTGGTGGGAACCGTTATCCTCAAGCCAAAGCCCGAGTTTATTCTTTGACTGAGAAGGAAGCAGAAGCAAACAGGGATGTGGTGACAGGTATGCTAACTTTTGCGTCGGTTCATGCTCTAGTACTATTTGATTCCGGTGCATCGTATTCCTTAATGACTGCACAGTTTGTTAAGAGAAATAAATTACCTTGTGATGCCCTACAACAAGAATTGCTTGTTAGTATATCTGGAGGTAGCATATTAATATCAAATAAGGGTTATAGGGGTAAAATTTATATTCTGGACAAGGAACTCCCCGTAGAATTAATGATGCTATAAATGCATGATTTTGATGTCACATTAGGGATAGATTGGTTATCCTTAAATCATGCTTTTATTTTATGTCGAGAAAAAAAGTAGTATTTAAATTTCCTGGCCAAACCGAATTTTGTTTTGAGGGATGTAAATCTCTAAAACCCTTAAAGACCATATCAGCCCTTGAAGCATATCGAGCGCTGAAAAGTGGATGTATGGGTTATTTGGTATCAGTTGAAATGATTGATGATGGAAAATCAAGCTTAGAAGAGATATCAATTGTCTGAGAATTTCTAGAGGTATTTCCAGAAGAACTTCCACCTAGATAGAGAAATTGAATTTTTAATTGACCTAGTACCTAGTACGAGTCCCATTTCTAAGGCTCCTTATTGAATGACACCTGCTGAATTGAGAGAACTCAAGGTACAACTATAAAAACTTTTAGGTAAAGGCTTCATTCGGCCTAGTGTGTCACCCTGGGGTGCACCAGTGTTATTTGTGAAGAAGAAAGATGGAAGTATGAGATTGTGTATTGACTTTCGTGAGTTGAATAAAGTAACCATTCGAAACAAGTATCCATTACCAAGAATTGACGATCTATTTGATCAACTGCAAGGAGCTCAAGTATTTTCCAAAATTGATCTTCATTCTGGTTACTATCAATTAAAAATCAAGCCAGAAAATGTGCCAAAAACTATATTTCGAACCCGTTATGGTCATTATGAATTCTTAGTTTTACCATTTGGGCTCACTAATGCACCTGCAGCATTTATGGATCTTATGAATAGGGTATTTAAACCTTTCTTGGATCAGTTTGTTGTGGTATTTATTGATGATATTCTGATATACTCAAGAAGCAAGGAAGAGCATGAAGAACACTTGAGACAGGTGTTGCACACTTTAAAAAGAGAACAACTATATGTGAAACTTAAGAAATGTGAATTCTGGTTGGAGGAAGTAGCATTTCTTGGGCATATAATCTCTAAGGAAGGGATTTCTGTAAACCCTGAAAATGTAAAAGCTATTGTTCAATGGGACAAACCAACTAATGTGACCGAGATCCGTAGTTTTCTTGTAATGGCTGGCTACTATAGAAAATTTTTGGAAGGATTCTCTCATATTTCTTCACCCCTAACTCGTCTTACTCATAAAGGAGTTAAATTTAGTTGGTCAGATGAATGTGAGAAAAACTTTCAAGAGCTAAAAAGGCAATTAGTGTCTGCTCCAATACTTGTATTACCCACAGGAGACACGGGCTTTGCTATCTATAGTGATGCCTCTAGAAGAGGATTGTGATGTGTACTTATGCAAAATGAGAAAGTCATAGCATATGCTTCAAGGCAGTTAAAACCTTAACAAAACTATCATACTCACGATCTTGAGTTAGCGGCAGTAGTGTTTGCTCTCAAAATTTATAGACATTATTTATATGAAGTACATTGTGAAATATATACTGACCATGAGAGTTTGAAATATATATTTACCCAGACAAAAAAGATGGTTAGAGCTTCTGAAAGATTATGATATGACCATCAATTATCACCCCGACAAGGCAAATGTTGTTGCTGATGCCTTGAGCCGTAAGAATTCATGCAATTTAGCTTATCTAATTACTTCTCAAAGAAAAACATTAGAGGACTTGGATCGTACTGGAATTAAAATTAGAGTCCACCAAATTAGAGTCAAATTAGCAAATATGGTAATACAACATTCTTTGCTAGATGAAATTAAAGCAAACCAGCAGAATGATGCTCAACTGTTAAAGATAAAGAGAGATATGGAAGAAGGCACTCGAAGAGAATTTAATATACATAAAGATGGATCATTGAGATTTGGAACTAGAGTTTGTGTGCCTAATATACCAGAGATAAAGAAAAAGATTCTAAAAGAGGCACATCACTCCCTATATACTATGCATCCTGGATCGACAAAAATGTATAAAGACCTGAAGCAAATATATTGGTGGAATAATATGAAGAAAGAAATTGCCATCTATGTTACAGAATGTTTCACTTGCCAGCAAGTAAAGGCTGAACACCAAAGACCAGCTGGATTAGTCCATAACTTGGACATACCAATGTGAAAATAGGAAAAGATCACCATGAATTTTGTCACTAGCCTTCCGAAATCTTTGAGAAAGAATGATGCAATATTAGTGATTGTTGACTGATTGACAAAGTCAGCACACTTTTGACCTATCAATATAAATTTTTTATTAGAAAAGCTGACTAAAATGTACATTAATGAGATAGTGAGATTACATGGTGTACCAATATCAATAGTTTCTGACCGAGATCCTAGATTCACATCAGAATTTTACAAAAATGTGTATAAAGCCCTGCAAACTAAACTAAATTTCAGCTCAGCTTACCATCCACAGACAGATGGCCAATCAGAAAGGACAATTCAAACACCGGAAGATATGTTGAGATGTTGTGTACTGGAAATGAAAGGGTCGTGGGAAGATTATCTACCTTTGGCCGAGTTTACATACAATAACAGTTACCAAGCTAGCATTCAGATGACACCATATGAATTTCTTTATGGAAGAAAGTGTAGATCTCCTGTTCATTGGGATGAAGTTGGAGAGAGAGAAATTCTTGGACCAGAATTGATATAGCAAGCAATTGATAAAATTCAATTAGTTCGGGAGCGTCTTCGCACTGTACAAAGTCGTCAAAAGAGTTATGCTGATCAAAGAAGAAGAGAATTAGAATTTCAAGTAGGCGATCATGTTTTCTTAAAGATTTTGCCTACCCGAGGAGTGAAAAGGTTTAGAATCCAAGGGAAGTTAAGCTCGAGATTTATCGGTCGTTTTGAAATTCTGGAACGCGTTGGTCCAATGGCGTACAGATTAGCATTAGCATCATCCTTCTCTGGAGTACATGATGTATTTCTTATATCCATGCTTCGGAAGTTCATCCGAGATCCAAATGCGATCATTGAGTTGTCTCCAGTGAAGCTTAAGCCAGACTTGACCTATGAGGAAAGACCAGAACGTATTGTGGATTATAAGGAACAAGTGCTTAGGCGTCGAATAATCAAATATGTGAAAGTTCAGTGGAAAAATCACTCTGAAAGAGAAACTACTTGGGAGATGGAAGATTCTAAGCGAGAGAGATATCCAGAACTCTTTCAAGATATAGGTATGTTAAGTTTCAAGGATGAAACGTTTTATTAGGTGGGGAGAGTGTAATAGTCCAAAAAAAACATATAAAAATGATAATATATATAAAAATATATAAAAATAAATATATAAAAAAAGAGAGAGAAGTTTACCAGCTTGAGTTGTCCTGTTTACAACCCTTGGAGAGTTGTTGGCTTCTTTTATTCGAAGCTTGAGATGGTTCAGCGGAGGTGTTCATCCTCCGTTAATCCCTGAGAACCTAGCCTATGAAATCCCTAGCAACTCAAGTTCAATAATTTCCTCCAGATCTCACAACTCCCCTTCTTATCTAAGCCGAACAATTAGGAGACAAAGGGATAAAATAAGAAGAAAGAAAAGAAAAAAAAGAAACACAAAGAATATCCTCTCATACTCCATAAAACTCTATATATCAGTAAAAAGCTTGTGAAGAGAGAAAAGAAGATTACAACAACGAATCAGGATCCCAAGGTATAATCTCCTTTCAAATTTCATAGTAAATCTTAGTAAATCAAATCAAAATAGAATGAATGAGGAAGTTAACTTGTTATGAATATGAAATAAAAAAATTTAGGGTTTGAAAATGATTTTTTTCTGTGTTTAGGATGCATGAAACAAACTGAAAAAAAAGAAAAAGAAAATAAACTAACCTAGATTTGGCGGGTTTCTTGTCGCCGACCTCTCTTGGTCGTTGGCGGTTCCTTGTCGCCGTCCTACCACCATGGCGAGAGAGCTAGAGAGAGAGAGAGAGACGGGCGAGAGAAAGAGAGATGCCTCTGATGCCCAATCAAAAAAAAGATAAAACCAAAATAAAGAGAGAGCAGAGAAAGAGAAAAGAGGAACGAAAAAAAAGAAGAAAATAAAAAAAAAGAAACGAAGAAGGGAGGAGGAGGAAAATGATCAGTTGAATTAATATAAAGGGAGGAAATTTTATAAAAAAATCCTTAGTTATTTTTAGCTTTGTTAAGAAACCCTCTTGGGTGGAGGATAATTCATTCTAAGTCCCTAAAAGCCACAAAGATTGTAAATAAACACTAACAGAAAAATCTAGGATCATATATAAACAGAATAATTACATATAGACCCCTATCAATTACTCTATTTGCAAACAAGTCCAATTTGAAGAGTAAAAGATAACTATAGGCTTGATTAATTCCCTATAACCCCCTATCTTATCATAAATTATTAGAAAGTCCAGAAGCTAGTATATGAGAGTTATAAAATTTTGATAAATTGTTAAAGTTAACAATAAGCTCATATGTACTGTAGAATTTAATTATTATTGATTATATATGAATTTATTAGGCTCTAGATTATGAATTTATTTACCTATAATGTATCTTTGTCTTGAGTTAATAATTAGTCTTATATATTATATTATAGGATCTGGTTGATATCAAGGGGACTAATATTTTGGGATAATCGTGTCCACTAGAGGTGAGTTCATTTCTCACTAGTATTTTATGATATGAAATTACATGAGTATTATATTTTGTGATCAATAAATAAATAATATGTCATTTTCATATATAAAGAGTTGACCTATTTCTGTTGTGGTCTATCCTATAATACGATGTTAGCTTCATACAATATATGAAAAACAAATATGATTTTTATGCAAAATATGAAAAATGAATTTGGCTCTCGTGAAAATTTCAAATAATTGTGTGCATTGTTTTATCTGAAAGTTTTGATGAAGTATTTTGGAACATATTTCAACAGTTTAACGGATTCAAAGATTTTTTGTGACTTAGTATCTGATAAAAGAAAAAAGTAAAAATCTATAAACTGTTTTAACTTAAATGAGAAGCTTTACCTTGTCAACTTTATTTAAAAATATCTAAAAATTCTGATATGCAAAGTATTACTCATTTGACTTGTTTGATCTTGATGTTTTCAAACCCTCAAATAGTCCACTATTGATTGTTTCTGCCTACTCATTTGACTTGTTTGATCTTGATGTTTTCAAACCCTCAAATAGTCCACTATTGATTGTTTCTGCCTGCCATATGGTGAATGCACTTTTATTTCACCCCTCTGTATTGGCTCCTCTATATTGGCCCTTCTGAAATTTGTTATGGTCCCTTTGTATTTGGCCGGTAACCTATGACAGTGTTAGGTGCATTCGATTCCCGAAAATTATCTGTTATGTGATGTGTTTTACGCATTCCCTTACTACTGAGCTAAAATTCGTAGTCTTACTGTGACCTATGAGGTGACTTTTATATTCATGAACTAACTCATCGAGAATTAAAATTTTGATAATTGACTGTGAAATTAAAAAAACAATAATTCTCTGGTTTTGTACAAATTAGTAGTTCTTTTCCTTCTTAATATTTACCTTGATTCAAAAAGGGTTTGATTCCAAGAAACTTCACAGTATATTCAGTTGCACATAAGAAAGAAAATATAATTGTTATATTCTTTCTTGAAGACGACAATATTATGATATTTGGATCGTATTTTGCTATCTTTTGAATTTCTCATGCAAAACTTATAATTCGTTATTTCTGAGAATTATGCTTATTACTATTTTGTTAGTTTTTGAATTTCTCATGCAAAACTTATAATTCGTTATTTCTGAGAATTATGCTTATTACTATTTTGTTAGTTATCTAGGAACTCTAGTGGGAAATGTTCTCACTGAGCGCTAGCTCACCCCGTTGTTTTTAAAAAAATTTCAGATCCGGCGTAGTTTCATACTAGCCAAACTTTTGGTTAGGGCTTTTGGCTAAGAGACGTTATATGGAGAGCCTCTTCTTTTTGATGTTACATGTAACACAATTTGTTTTGTTTTGTAAAAATGCTTATAACGATGAGCTTGTGGGCTGTAAGTATCGATTATATACATATATATAGTTGCTCTGATTTCTATCATCAGCAGGTTTATGAACATTTTGAGATAAACTATGTGATATGAAGTGTCAGGCTTGACCCGTGTATAAGACTTGTCTCGTGCACGGGTCGTTGCTGTCGCGCACCCCGCATTTACAAATTTCCGCTGCAGTTTCGGGGCGTGACAGTTTTTGAAGGCTATAATCTTATGGCAATGCGGTTATGTCTTTGTTTGACATTGTGTCCTGTTCTTAGCTCGTAAATATTGTACAAGCATTGACAATATCGTTTGTACTTTCAGATAGCATATATATGCATTGAAGTACAGTTCGATTGAGTTATTGGTGTTTCAATGCTTTTTCCAGATATTTTTATCTTCATATCCAATATTGAACTAGAGACTACACATTTCAGACCCGTCAGTTATTGTAACCTCCGTCCCTAGAAATTCAATTCAGGAATTGCACTTACATTTTTCATTTCATGCTGTCATTTTGAGCTTCAGCAACAGATACAACGAAGCTGAACCCAGGAGTTAACGCAGCTCTCTGAAGAGTATCACCCGTCCATAAAATAGCAGTTAGAATTCCGGACAGTTACAAGCTATGGCAATACAAAGCTGTACTGAATTTAATTCGAGATTAAAGGACTCCCAATGTTTGGGTCAGTAAGTAATTGCTTTTATTTATCAAAACTCCATATGTACAAGGAGCAGTAAGAATTCAGCTTGTGTAAATTAGTTTCTCGGTAACATATTAAAGAACAGTCAATTTTAAAATTACATATTAGCAGGAATTTCCCCTTTTTTTAATCCCCTTCACATTCTTTTAAAACTTCACTTCCTGATCATAATTCATAATAAAACGCATGACACTTGATACGTATGAAACAAACTGTATTTCTACTTCAATGAACAGTATTGTGTAAGACTGAGTAAATTATCAATATTTTACTGATAAAGGAATTATCTGGCTTGACAGCACTGCATAAATTATCAACACAGTAAGGTAATAATAGTAGAATTTGGCATGCTTCGTGCTGTTGTATAAAGATCAATTTCCCTGACAACGATCAGCGAGAAACCATACATCACAATTAGTAAT